TGTTTTATCCTTTCAACTGAAATAATGTAGTTTGATAAGTTGCAATACCATCTTGAGGTGAAAACTTGAGTACTTGTTATTGACAAGGCATAAGAGAGTGAAAGCCCCGCAAGCCCTACAGATTTGAAATGAAAGAAGAACAAAATAATCAGCAATCTTGAACACTAAGAGTGAAAATTATATTTTTCATAGAAAATGGTGTCACCTGGAGCAACATAGCCTTTAGGAAGCAGAAGGAGGAGAAGTGCAGAAGTAAATACAGTAAGATTTTGAAGTGCCTCTATCCTTAGTACAAGCCATTCCAAGGATGCATTACAAAGAAAGAAAAGTGCAGCGTCTGTATCAACAAGCTTTAGGTAGCTTTGGAAGAACCTGTCTGCCGTGTTGAAAGCTCTTATAGTAATCACTCCTAGAGATGTCTCGGCTGCATAATTCATAACAGGAGCCTTTGTTGTTCCATTTATTCTTATTAGCTCCCTTGCTGAAGCTAGATAATACTCCTTTAGGTGTAAGGAAAAAGGAATTAACTGGCTATTCAATTTCATAATTTGAAAAATAGAATGAATCAGGTGAAAAAAATTTGCATTTAATGGGCATACCTGTATGTATTTTACAGCTACCAAAGCAATAATGGCTACAATGAGGACTTGCCATGTAACAAACGCAACAACTGCAATTGCTCCCATAAGTTCAGTGGCACCGGCTGCCATGAAGCCAAAGGAGAAAGGTACATCAAAATCCAGAACACTCATATCCGATGAGGCCTGAAATAGTGCAATATAAGAAGATTAGAAGAGTAGAACAAAAACTAGTATTTAGAACATTACAAGAGTAGAACGCAAACATTTATTTTAGAAGTGCTTTATATATGGTTAAGGGTCATCTTACCCTAGTCAAAATCCGGCCAACAGGAGTAGAGTCAAAGAAAAGCATGGGGGCTTTGAAAATGGAATTGGTGAAACCAGAGTAGAAAGCTTTGGAAGCTTTTAATCCTAGAAGGGCAGAGCATACAGACCTAAGATGTACAAAACAAGCACTAAGTGTTGAAACTCCCGTGTAAACTCCTATTAACAAACCAGTACTAATTTTAGGAATCTGAATTGCAAATGCTAGCCAATATGTTGCTGCGGCCTGAAGAACAACAAAACCGGATTGAGCTAATGTGCCTACACATAAAAGTAAATATCCTTTTGAGACTTGGAGGTAATCTAGGAAAGGTTTCCATCCAACATTCCCGTTCTCCCTTTCCTCTTCTTCTGTTAGCTGTACGCCAGGTAAACCAATGACAGAAATCTCTCCTTCACTGTCCTGTTTAGTTGGGTAAGACACCACAGAGTCTTCTTTATCTGAGTCTATTTTTATCTCATTTTTCAATGAACCCAGTGTTGTTACCGCATCTCTATGAGCACTAACTAGCTGCTCAAAAGCTGTTCCGGCCTTCAAGAGCTCCTCATAACTTCCAGATTGTGTAATTTGCCCACCATCCATAACCTAATTCAAATTGACATCATTCTCCATTAGGATTACAAGTAAATAATAAAGATTCCTAAAACATTTATAACTCAGACTCTTACCAGAATTATGTCAACTTCTGAGAGAAACTCCACTTGATGAGTCACCAGGATGACAGTTTTCTTTTGTAGAGCAGCCATGATACAGTTCTGCAATAGTGCAATCCCAGCATCTAACTTAGCATGCTGTAAATACCATCGATTAACTTCAAAGTTAAGGATGGGATAGTTTTATCTTACATTGAACAGAACTGCAGCTGTATGTGCATCCACAGCACTGAAAGGATCATCGAGAAGATAGATGTCAGCATCATCATAGACAGCTCTAGCAAGTTGAATTCTTTGTTTCTGTCCACCACTCATGTTAATCCCTCTCTGACCTATTTCTGTGAGATCACCATGGTCAAAATTATCAATGTCCTTATCCAAGGCACATGATTTGATAGCCTTTTCATATCTTTCTTTGTCCATTGGCTTTCCATAGAGTATGTTGTCACGGACTGTCCCACTCTGGATCCAAGATGTTTGAGAAACATAGGCAAGGGGTCCAGACACAATAACCTATTTTCAAGCATTAAAAAGAACGAAGTTAGTGAAACAATGTAGATGCTTCATTTTGTACATTCATATTTGTTTTACAACTCACAGCTCCTGAAATTGTCGGTATCTCTCCAAGAATGGCGTGCAAAAGTGATGATTTTCCAGCTCCAACTGGTCCACATACTGCAATTTTCTGCCCTTTTTTTATTTCCAAAGCAACATCTCTAAGAGTAGGAACTCTTAATTCTGGATCCCAACTGAAATTGCCTGCTTGGATCGTAACACTTTTATCAGTATTCTGCTGTGGAATGCTCCTCTCTTCATCATTCTTGATCTCATCTTCAAGCAGAAAGGCATTTATTCTTTCAGAGGAGACTTTAACCTGCATCAGAATGGAAAGAGCCCCGGGTATCATTGTGACAGGTTCTCCCATGCTCCTCAAGGTTGCAAGAACTGTGAAGATGGTACCAGCATCCAATGGAGCACTCCCCAAAAGGGAACATCCCAGGAAGATAACTGAAGAGACAATGGTTGGACTGATCCAAAACATGACAGTGCCATAAGCCTTTTTTAACTGTTCTTCAGACAACCACTTGAATTCATTTTCTCGTCGAGATTCAATTAAGTTCTTGAACTTCTCTTCCCATGATTGCAGCTTTATGATCTTCATGCTGTTTAGGACCTCAGAAGTGATCCGCAGTCTTTCATCTTGAGCTGCCATGACTTCAGATTCACACTTTTGCAACGTCTTTGCAAATGGCACATTAAGGAGTCCAAAGAAAATGAGAGGGACTAATCCAGGAAGAGCACCAACACCAACAATGGCAAAAAGGATTCCAACAGACAGAAAAAGTTGTAGTACAAGACTCCATGTTGAATGGAACCACCAGGGAAACTCTCCAAATCGGTAGGAATCTACTGCAATATAATTCACAATCTCTCCAGTTGAGTGCCTTCTCTTTCCTAAACATGAAAGCTTGAGCTGCTTTTGATAGACTGCAACCATCAGAGCTGATTTCATTCTCATTCCTGACCTCCTTGAATTGAAGTACCAATGCCTCTGTGACAATGACTCAACTGTTTTGCATAGAATTAGACACCCAAATATGGAGAGACCATCAAACCAATTTTCCTCATCATGTTTTGAATAGTTTACGAAAGCATAGAGCAGAAGTGGAAGTGCTAACACGGACACCATCCTCAGAAATGCACATAATGCTATCAATGCATTCTCTTTGAAGAACACTTTTGCCAATGCCTGAAGAACCAAGTTACTAGAGTTGCTTAGGCTCTTCTCTCTCACAAGGAAATCCCAAGCATGTGCAAATTTCTTGTAAGCCAAACTGGCTTCGTCTTCAGGAACTAAAGAAGGGATGTCTCCAAGAGATAACGGTTTGGAGTAACCCAAAGAAAGCAAAGGATTAATCCAGGAAAATGTTAATCTGCTGAAAAAGCCAGCATGCCCTATTCCTGATTGATTTTTCTCTGCCTCTGAGGATAGTAAAGGTTCAGATAAAGTCCTATCCCTGTTATACCAAGTTAGAAAATGCTTGAAGTTTCTAAGTGCACAAAATAGGAGCAAGGTGCTCACTGGCCATTGCAACATGTCAAAAATTTGCAGGCTGTTTTTCTGTGATAGAATTTCAAAGTTAAGGGCAAAAACCAGTAAGGAGAATGATGCCCACCAAAGAGAGGTGAGAATTTTGATCCATTTGGACCTTTGAACAAGCACGGAAACAGCCAGTGAGATCCAAACCAGTCCTCTAACAACGTAAACTAACCACCTCGAGTTGTTAGATTCATCATCTCTGACTATAAGATTTGATAAACCTGAACCGAGATATGCAATGCTAATTAGAGCACAGCAGACTGACACAATCACAGAGATTAGGTCCTTTCTACAACTCCCATTGATTTGAGTTTTCATGACCAAACCTCCAAGCAGAAGAAGATAGAAAGCACAGAGGAATAACAGATTTGCTATGTCTATTATGGTTCTTAGAATACAGCCAAAACCAAAATCCAGTTCTCCATCACACATCCAAGAAAATTTCCCTGCAGATACACATCAAGACCAAGTTCAACAAAAGCAGTTTACATCAATAAGAAAAGAAACCAGAAAGAAGAAAAAGAAAGATATGAAACTACAGAGAAAGAGCAAAGAAGTTAGAAAGCTAGAAAATACTATCATGAGAACAGTTTATATTACATGAAATCCTATTCATGGAATAACGATTTGATGAAACAAAAAAGGAGATTAAATGTGATGTTCACTGCTGTTGTGAAAAGATTGATTGGAGGATTAATGTTTTCCTTCCCATGATTTCCTTCTAATGTCATCTTCATTCTTTCTACTGGGTTTTGAATCTTTGATTCCTCTAAAATAATATAACAGAAGAGTAGATGTTAACTTAACAAAGAATAAAAACATAATAGGAGAAAAGAAGAGTAACCATGGTATTCCATACTTAAAAGCTCTTCTATCATCTACTTTTCTTTCTGAAGATTAAAGATTCAAGAACAGCATAACATAGACTCAAATCAGCACATAAAGCAGTTACTGGTATCAAGAGAGAGAGAGAGAGAGAGTCATGATCAGAACAGAAAATTGAGAAATAAGATGTACCGAGTGAACTCCCTGAGGATGCCATGATTGGAGAAAATTCAGTGGTTACACCT